CACTACACTAGTCACTATTTAAAATATATTTAGTGGCTTTAAACCATAACAACCAAGATCTAAACAAAGATTAAATATATTTCTGTACATGCAAGTTTTGTTAGAAAGTTAATTTTGACTTCAGGGTGTAGAATGCAATACCAAATACAGTTTTGTGGGAAAGTCATTTGAAATTTTTTGATATCTAAATTTACCATAGCATTGCAAGCCTAAACAATAAATATTGTGTTTTTCCATCGGTATTTAGTATTAAACTATGACATGACACTATGATTTTTTCTTCACTGTAAACGGTAACGATCTAGAGGTACAGTGCTACGTTCAAAACTGCACAACTGAGAAGCCCTGCCTCTTCCTAATGCCATTTTAACATAGCATTGTTGAAAAATAGCTGAGTGACATTTTTGAAACCTACATGAATGACCCGCAGTATGACATTCTTGCATAATTGCCATGAAGTATAGGGATGTGGGGTTGCTGAAAACAGACTGAGCTAGTACTCACAAGAATTTCAGATTTTCAGTGCTAATACACTTTATTCGTAAATATTTTCTTAGAAGTCATCATGTTTTCGCCTTTATTTGATTAATATGTTTTTTTTTTAAAACTCATTATATAATAGAAATTATCATTTCATCTACTACTAAAACAACAATTAGTTGCAGTCCTAATCCTAATTATATTAGATTCAAAGTTTGAAATTTGATAAATGATTAACTTCATAAACCATATTTTTGAACCATGACATTTTTTTAAATAATTGCAAAAAGTATAGGGATATTATGGACAGGGACAGGAGTTAGGTGAAAATAGACATTTTCTGAGCCCTCAAGCCTCAAACATACAGCAGTAGGATTTACTTAAACATGCTGAATCAACTGAAATACAACTTTGAGTGATGTAATGATGAGGGAATACTGTAAGGTTAAAAGAGGATTTTAGAAATGTTCCCTTTAAATAATTCTTTAGTCTATGTATTTTAGTCCATATTGCAGTAATAATTCTTGCATTGGTCCCATTGTCTACTGGGCAGCTCAATACACAAACACGCCAGTGTATCTTTGCTCAAATGACCATAAATCTGATTGTTTACAGTGTGCAGTGTATATAAAATATTGGCCGCGGGCAGAGTGTGACTCATTAGCCTGCTTGGCCTCTCTCTGTCGGACTGGAGCCACATGTTTTTACTGGAACACTTGGACTGGGTTTGATAATTAGTGTTAGCATCAACACAACACTGACAGCCTGTGTTCTTTCACGCATGGACAGAGCTCATATCTGCACTGTACACAGTCAGTTTAATTAGTTATAACAATATAAACTTCTGCTTCTGTTCTGTATTAGACGGGCATGGAATATTCTTGAAAACATGGCATATTTTTTCATATTTTCATTCTGCACAGTCATATTAGGTCAATTGTCCATATCTCATTGAGTTATTTATTAAACACACATAGTGATAAATGAAGCTTTATACTATAAGACAGTTAGACAAGCTCCTCAAGGTGACGTCAAGGTATTCCCAGAATATTACCTAACTTATGGAACAATCATAAACTAATGATAGTGAGCTGTTCTAGTAAAGTCACTCACACGCAAACTGTGCTTAGATATAAGGCAACAGAAATGTGACAAAAAATTTCTCTGTAGAAATATTGTCGGCTATATATTTTTAAAATATATATATTTTGTTAGGAAGGCAAATGTGTTTATGTAAGCCAGTTTTGAAGTTTACACTGTTTGATATATCAAAGTATTTGTACATTTGAAGCTTTGTTAGATTTGAAAATCTGCACAAAATAATTTTACTTTTTACTCTTGAAGTAAAAATAATAAATAAAAAAATACTTTTGCTTAAGTAGATTTTATCATGTGATACTTTTATTTTTACTTGAGTATTTCTTTGGAGAGGACATCTGAAGTCTGGAAGTCCCTCCTTAGACTACTGCCCTCGTGACCTGGCCCCAGATAAGTGGAAGAAAATGGATGGAGAGTATTTCTTTGCTCTGGTATCTGTACTTTTAATATATCTTTTACTGTGTCAAAATTGAGTGCTTCTTCCACCACTCTAGCATGCTAACAGCGCACCAGCCTTACTTCCTGGTTCATGGATGACAAAAATACCTTATAATTAGACGCAGACAATACACAGTCATCTCATTTTGTAGTTTAGATATGGTTTTACAATATCTGTCTATCTATACTGGGGCAAAACAAATCTTACTGTATTTCATGAATAAAATGTATATGCAGTGTTTTTAAAGGTGCACTGCGTAACTTGTCCAGTGGAGTGTCTGTCATCTGCTTGTCTCCATGGAGATGTGCCTATAATGTTTTCCATGGAGTCTTGCAAGCCAAATTACAGGTTAGACTTGTGTAAAGGCCCCCTCACAGTGAGACTGAATGTATTTTAAGATATTTTGAGCTATAAATAACATCTGTAATTGAATAAATGCAAGACTACTGTGGACAATTTAAACCAAAGCATTAACATCTTACCATGAGACAAACAGGTTGCGGACCCTTTCCAGAAAAGTGACACAGTGCACCTTTAAGCATTCAGTCAGTAGACTAATTTGTTTTTTTTGGAAAGTAGCCCTTAAAACATTACTTACAGTATACAGTAGCAGCTCTGGCAGATTAAAAAAGCAGTTTTTGGGAGAGAGAAAACCAGTATGAAGGAGAAATCAAGTCAGGCTGTTTCAGATCTGGGTTAAACATTTTAGAATCAATTTGTGATGTCTGCCCACTGCTTTATTGCCCTCATATAAAAACATAAAAATTACAATAACTCATTTTCAAGTACACATGAACCAGAAATTGTCAAGCCAAAATTATGGAAATTTCTCAAAAACTATGAACTGTTTTAATAATACCCAAACACAGCATCATAGCAACCCCAAACTAATTGTGTGGAATGCTTGCATGCTTGATCACTGTAAATTACATTCAAATTGTCCACAATATAATCAGGTTATTAAATTAACAGTTGTGTTTATTCTAGATAGAAGACTTCACAGTGATTAAACGGTAAAACAAAGTAAACTTGGGTGTATTTGTAGTACAAGGATGCAATATATTTTGACTTGACATGCACTTCTGTACTTGTCCTTTTGAAGCCAAGACAGCAGCTTTGACCTCACATGACCACAGAGTTTAGTTAAAGGTGCATTATGTAACTTTCCTTTTTGTCCCCTTTTAGATTTTATTGCTTTGCGTAAATCGTTCACATATTATCTTAAATTTTTTTTATTATTGGTGCTTCGAGCGGGATCGCCTCTCCACAGATCTAACCTGTGGCTTGGCCTGGTATTCACCTGCCTGTTTCCATGGCAATAAGTTTGATAAGTTTGCTGCTATATTGTGGAACATTACAGGTAAAGCAATGGAAGCAAGCAAAGTTAATGTACTTGTGTAATTTGTATTATTTTGGACTTTCTAATGTGATTTGCATAAATATAACCCTATAAATAAATAAAAAAATAGCAAAGTTTTAGTACTGCAATTTAATACAGTAGAGCTCATTTGGCTTCAGTAACTTACAGAAAATTAAACAATGGATGACATTTTAATATTTGTATTTGATTAATCTATCTTCAAACTAATTGCAATTTGCAAAGAAACTGCCTCAAAGTTCCGACTATATATACAGCCAGTGTATAATGAAGCTAAAAATACAAAAGCCTACGTTTCCCATAGAGAAGATAGGCATCAGTGGTACTGTAATCCAGTGCTCTCTGCCACGATAATGCTCTGGGAGTGTGTCTTAGTTATTCAGGTTAATGCGTTTACCTCTGGGCAATATTTCCATTCTGGCTCCCATTGTACACACAGACATGCACAGAGTCTTTTCCCCACTTCTACCGCTCGCTTGCTCGCTCTCATGAGAAAAACCTGAGTACTCTGCTGAGAGAGGCCTCGTGAGCTCAGGATGGATGTTTAGAACTTAAGCAGGCATCAGAGGGGGATCTGCTTAGCTCCATTACAGTCAGGACAATAGACAATAGGATCTCGTATATTATCTTAAATTATAATCACAATGCAATGCTCCACAGCAGGACATTAGGGAGGCAGCAATACATTTTCACCCTTCCATTTTGCCAACTACAAAGCCATTTTCAAGCCACTGAGAGAAAGTGCATTGACTAGTTGGTTTGCATAAAGAGAAGGGATGGGTCGATATGGACATTTTGAGCAAATTTCGCTATCCGATATTTGGTCTATTTATCTTCAGAATCTTAACTTTAAGGAAAAATCACAAATTAACTTTTCCAAAAATTATAACAAAATGTATTTATCTGGGATGCTAAATAATGCGTCACATTTGTGTGAACAAAATATACAACCAGATAAAACTCTTTAATTTCCATTTTTACTCATTAGTCTGTTCATCTGCATTGAATATTGCATTGATTTGCACTGATATCGGCCGATACTGATCCATTGATGTGGCTGATACAGAAGCTGGAACTAATATACCATCTATGCCTAATGATATTAACACAATATGCATCTCACGGTACAATATTTATTGTGATATTTTGGATATAATATAAATGTAGATAGGAAACTTTTTTTGCTTTTAAAATACCTTGAAAAGATTTTGGTGTGAATTATTTCTTTCATAATCTCAAGAATTCAAGTAAAAAACATATCTCTTCATATTGTTTGCTGCGAAATGAATCATGGGATGTGTAGTTCCCAATGTTTATAAGCTGTTGCTACTGTAAAACCATGCATTTAAGCAAAGGAACTTGTAATTCGATATATTGTGACTGTCCATGATATTGTTGTGAGACTTTTGACCATATGATATCACGATATTTCAGGTATTGTTACTAATGAAGACTGAACATTTTACACAAATCAAACTATTTTATATAATAGTTTAGAGGTGAGACTTTCCTCTAGTTCTCCATTGAAGTGGAAATGCCATCATGATGAAGTGCAGGTTAGTGGCAGTAGCAGTAAAGGTGTGTGAGGAGGAGTAGGGGGAGTACCTGCATGTGAGTGTTTCGTGGTAGGGTTTGATACTAGCGCTGCGGTCCCTCCTGACTGGCCCTGGCTCGATGGTGGGCAGGCCTGTGGCTGAGGTGGTGGTGGTCCATGTGGACGAGATCCTCCTCAAGAGCCCCGGGTGCAGACTCCTCCTCAGACGCTGTTCAGCAAGACATGGAAGCAGATGTTTAATCAGGGCATATTATGTAAAATGTAACTTTTTAAATTTAAATTTAATCTTATAACGTGTTCCCTCATCATTAGGTCACTCAAAGTTGTATTTAGATTGACTAATGCATGTTTGAGGAATCCTGTATTGGCCTGTATCTGGGGCATGAGTGCTCAGAGAATTCCCATTTTTGCCAACTCGGCTCTTGACTGATACTAATTTGTGTTTATTTAAAAAAAATATATATATAAAGTCTCCAGGTCATAGGGTTCAAACATGTTGTCATCATACAAATACAGGAAAATTCACTGCAAATGTGAGAAGCAACTACTGTATGTATGAGGTGTGGAAGTCAATAGTCCCATTTCTTTTACTGTCCTGTTTTGCAGTTTACAAAAATAAAATGTAAAATGTTGACATACAGTAGGTATATAAGTGCTAGAAAAAGCTTTATATGTCTTCTTTAATAACTATGAGTACATCTGTGAGCATGACGGAGTATTGTACAGGGGTGAAGCAACGGTGCAGGGAGAGTGTTTGGATAAAAGTACTCAGCTCTCCACCTCCATGTTTATGGCCAAGTCATGTGTCAAATCCATCACTTAGATGAGACAGTTGTTTGGCTTCACCTGCCCAGAGAGAAAGAGAATGATGCAGGGGATGTCTCTGTCTGCATCTGTCTTGGTTTGATATCTGTTTTTCTCAGCTCTGAATCTTAGGAGTGCAGAGATTAAGCAGAAAGTTCATGACTACTGAAATAACCCTAAATGCATGATGATCATAATTGTATACTGGAGCATACAGACACTAAAACAGGTAAAGACCAAACAAAGACAGAGTCCTTATTACATTAAAGTGTTAAAAGACAGTAACGTTTTAGATTTTTTATTTTATTAATAAATATTCTCTATTTTTAAGCATTAAGTCATCAGATTCCCCACCTTTTTTGATTCATATGTATTTTCAAAATCTCAAATAATCATTCAACGAGTCACTAATAAAAAGTCGATTGCTAAAATAATTGGATGGAACGTATGGAAACTTGCCAACATGGTCACTTTAGGAGTTTTATGTTTTTGTTTTTATGTTTATGTTTAAATTGTTGTATATATGGATGAAACAATGGGATGGGGTGGGGGGTTGCTCTTGTTTTTAATTATTGTATTGTAATTTTTCTGTAGCAGGTGAAGCACTTTGTGCTACATTTCAAATGTATGAAAAGTGCTATACAAATAAAGTTTGATTGATTGATTGATTGGTGTGTTTACATTCATCATGTTTGTCCATTAACATAGTTTGTCCCAATCAAATAAATAAATAAGTCAAAAGCAGGTGTAATGAAATGTGATAAATTATTGATTTAATATTTCACATTTCCTTCGTGAACAACACTTTTCACCGGTTATCTCAACTGCCTCTGAGCAAGCCAGTAATCTTAGTAGTTGAGAAAACTTTCAGCAATTAGTTACCACTAAGAGAAAAATACATCCCAGGTCTTGGTCCAAACTGTTCTTTCCTAATATTAAAATCATGTTCTCCTGAATATCTGAATTTGTTTGGCCAGAGGAGTGTAACTACATGTTGACAGTTGTTGGGACAGTATGGGGCTTGTAAAATATTTGTTGTTGTTTCAGGTCAGATAGGAGTCAGCTCAGGCCTTTTTGACCTTCATACAGGAAGTGGTCTGCTGTGGACGCAGAGCCAAACAACCAAATCTACCAACAAGCTTCTACTCGGTGTAACTCAAATCATCCACAGGATTATGCAATACAGTCAGACATCATTCATAGATTTTAATCTCTGTTCACTCTCCTGATATTGCCTCTAGTCCAGTGGCTTTTAAACCTTTCACATCAAGTACCCTCTGGTTTCATGGATCTATAAGAACACTGTTCTGATTTGAACTGAAAAAACTGTCCCAAAGAGGTTTTAAATCACATTGCTCGTGTTCGGCTGACAGGACACCTACAGCTTTTCCAAAGGTTGGAATTTGTAAGAATTCTTCTCTATTTTTACAATACAAACTTTTTAAATTTATTCTGACAACCTCAAAGAGCCAAAAAGTAAACTTTAGAAGACCTAATCTAGCTGGCTGTAGGTCTACCTCAGCTCTAGCTGTTAGCTCTTAAACTATTACACTTCCAAGCCTCGGTCTAGGAAAATATTTGACTGTTTGAGCACCACCTGATCAACCAGGTTTAAAATGGGAGTATATTAGGTGTAAAATTGGGCTGAACCAGCAATTATCACAGTTCTAGATATAAAGAATTTACCCAAAGGAGGGCATACATGTGGATGCCATTTACTCTAAATGAAGCTAACACTAGCAGAGTACTGCGGAGGAGTCTGTGGACCCTCAGGCAGATTTCACTTACCACAGTGGTACCTGTATCTATGTTTGAGAAACACTACTCAAGACAAATTCTTTGTAATGGTACATCCTCTTAAACAGCAATAACCAGACAAATATTAACAATACTTTTCACATGTTAGGCAGTGAGACAGGCGTAATAGGCCCAGCAGACTGACCACTCCTTGGACAGTTTATTTAAGCTTCTCTTTCAAAGTCCCGACCGTGTACAAATACACCTGTCAGACATGTCATTTACTTAAAGGCCATGGACAGGCTTCTCTCAAATCCACAGAGGACCTTCTCCCAACTGAAGTGTCAGGCTAATTGGATCCATACAGGGACACAGCTCATATTTGTGTTCCTCCTTCAGATAGGGCACCATTTTGAGTGCGTCCCGTCTGCACATACACTCTGGTGGAGCACATCTGTCTTGTTGACACAGCTGCATGGGGCTATGAAAGAGAGGACAGGGCAGCAGGCAGTAGTCGCGTTCTATTTTTCTTCGTTCAGCGTTAGGAAAATACAGGCCTTCTTCAGAGGATGCTAAAAGCTTAGAGAGCAGGAAGCAGTCATTAGCCCAAACATGGCCTAAAAGATTAACATGTGTGTGTAAGCCCATGGAGTATAAATCGTTTGGCTCTGGATAAGTGGACGATACACGGCTCTATCTGTGCTTTCACTGGACCATTCTTGTGAGTTAGCATCCAGTTCTTGGCGTACTGAAGTGATTTGCAGTTATCATATCTCTGCAATGTTCAAATGGCAAAGTTATAGCCAAGTGGTTTTCATTGTTGCCTTACAGAAAACATGTCCATAATGGGAGTTTGCATGTTCTTTTGTTTCCAGACGAGTATTCTTGCATTACATTAAATACATGCTGCCAGTTCATTTAACTATAGAAACTGTGGACAGTATGCAGGCTCATTTGTGAGTGCTGAATTCCACTTTGTATTTTAAAAACAATGGCAATGGATCCATTTTTAGAATTTGAAATATCAGATAACCCAGTAATTAGATTTGATTTTGATTTGTGTTTCCATATACAAAATAATCAAAAGCAAATATTTTTGTCTTTGCTACTTTTTAAAACCTGCTGTGTGAAAAATCTGAGAGAAATAAGATTACTCACTAATCTGATCACTAATCTAATTCTAGAAATCAGATAATGATAAAATCTTTGGTGTGGATGTAAATACGGCCAACGTTATGGACACTAGAAGCTCTTCAAATGGATTCAGTGGTAGAAGCCAACCTAGACTCAACCTTCACCTGTTCCCAATTGGCCTACAAACCTTTCTTAGATAACATTTACCAGTGTTTTTTTTGTTGAAATCCTGAACAATTCTCCTTTCTCTTACAGTATATTATGTTGCATACCTTGTGTATGGAGGTCTTCTCACCCTTCTCGGGCACATCCTCTGAGTCAGAGCAGGTGTAGGCGTCGCTGGGGTTGAGCAGGGGTGCAGGGCGTGGCCGGTGCAGCGGTTGGAAGGTGAGTTGGGTGGTTAGCAAGTTGCTAACAGCTTTCAGAGACGTGCAGGTGTTTGGGGGCAGAGAAGGGTCTGCTAACAGATCTGTGATGAGTCCATGAGCTTCTCCCATCACCGCAATGTCCACCATGACAGTGGTGCCTGATGACTGTAGACAGAGAGAGAAAGAGAAGGAGATAAGTAAGTGACTGCAATCATAATTAGTTAAATGTTTTGCAGCAGTCCAAAGTTATTTTTCACTTTCCTTACACATCCTAGCATTCTAATTATTCACCACATTGAGTTTACAAGCACTTTCATAATTTCAGAGGCCAGAGTATAGTTTTGCTTGTCAAGCTTACAGTATACTTCCTGATTTATTTGCACAAATAATGCCAAGTTACTTTTTTTCATTCACAAAATGATATACTAATACAATCTTTTCCTGGATCATTCAGTTTATTACAAATTACAATCACATCAATGTAGACCTGAACTGAATGAAACCTGTGAAATGTGATAAAACAGAAATTGCAATCTGGCAAATAAATTCTAATATGATTTTTTTTTTTTTTAGCAACACCCAGTACTTCAATGAAAACCCTATTACACATCACAACAACATCTCGTGCCAGACTCCATTCAGGCAGCATGTGGTACTGGGCCTTAATGAATGGGCTCATTAGCAACATGTCTCCGGCAGACTTTGACCTCTGACCTCCTGACCCCTGACCCTCGGACCCACAGCTACCGTGTGTTTAGTGCCGTCTGCTCTGAGGTTTGAAGGAGCGTGTGTGAGAGCGGCTCATGTTTTCGCATAACCTGCTCTTAATCACTGCAGCCCAAAGCTTTTCACACCAGGCACATGTCAATATTTGGCTTTCCAAGTCCCATCTGTAATGAACTGAATGATCAACTTTCTGAATTTATGAGCCCAATGTAACTAAACAAGATCAACAGTAGGATTCAGGACTATAAGACTATATAGGACTATGAGGCCTACAGCTGAAATTAACCAGAACTAAACCAGGTCTAATGCACAACTTAATTGACCAAATCAGGACTCTAGACTCAAGAATCTAATGGCAATAAATGTTGCTGAATGTTGGTCCATGTTGAGCTCCACTCGTTTTAAATGCAGAATAAACTTAAAACATAGTCTTCCTTACATCATACCTTTGGAATAAAATGGACAGTGTATGTAAAATATAAAAACATATTCCTTAATGCAATATGATAAATGGAAACTGGCCATATACATATAAACTAAGCTTAATCTAGACCTCAAGATAGAAGTACCAGGAGCTGTACCATAGTTTGGCAACCACTGCCAGGATAAAAGTACCTGCTAATTTATAACAGGGGTTAGCCTGAGCAGCCAGTCTGTTTATCAAACACACTCACACTGCTCATACTCTGCCCTAAGAATGTTATCTGATTAGTTTTCTCCTCCATCCACGTCTCCCTGACAGCTCTGCCAGCTCGGAGAATGATGCTGTTTACACTGGCCTGTGGTGGCTTTCACTGCTCTCCACACAAGGGACCAGTAAGACCAGCACTTTTGTGTTTCCTGATCAAAGGAAAAATCTGCAGATTAGACTGGGAAATGTACTGAAAAAATAAATAAATAAAATAAATAAATACAATATTTTCCCCTGTAACTGCTGTTATAGAGGGATTATCAGACTATGTTACTTCAGGCTCTACTGTCCGGTTTGGTATCATGTGAGTGGCAGCGGGGCTAGTTGTGTTGATCAGGTATGAGTGGATGTCCGGCTATTGAAGTTTGAGCCATTTCTTCTCATCATTTACGCACTCACCTGCATTTAACACATACGGGTTATTAAGTCGTATCCCACTCACAAATGTTAATTTAGCATCATAACTTATTTTATCACATGTTGATAAACTTTTTTAATGTGCCGACAAAAGTACTAGCTAGAGTTGCAACTTCATGTTAACTACACAACCAGCAGCGCTTTCTGCACTCAGGCTGCGCGGGTATTCACTGTGCTGATGAACAAATAATCCATCTATAGGAGTTGTCAAAAAATCGATTCCCAGATACTAATTGATATAAACATTAGAAATGGGACAAAGTTGAACTCTTTCTGTATTGTTTGAAAATGCTCTTGATGCTCTTTTTTATTATCACTGAGGTATCAAGATTGTTATTGGGTATCAAGACTTTAACATAGTATCAATATCAAGTTCGAAATGTTAGTATTAATACTTTGCAGTGACATCACCCTGGGGCTGTTCTCCATGGAAGTCTATGGTGGAATGTTCAGGAATTACCATGGTGACACAATGCAAACATTAACAAACACTGCCAAAAATGTTTATAAATGAAAACTGAAAAAAAAAAAAAAAAAAACACACACACACACACACACAAAATGGACTTAACCAACACATTTTCAAGAGCTTGCAATCAGCATTCATGATCCTGTTTAGGTGATTTTCAACAAAAAGGTTGAGACAAAAAAATAAATAAATAAACGCTAGCTAGTTTGTGATTGTAATATTGACGGGACTTAACATGAAATCAGCTCACCGGTTGTCCCAACTACATCAGCTCTTTCTAGTCAGATGGAGTCAAATTAAAGGTCAGATTAAAGTCAAACTTGAGTAACAGAGCTACAGACAGAGAAGTGCCTACAGTTAGCTTCACACCCCCCGGGAATGTTGATAAAATAAGCTGCAGGGTATCACTGGCACTACTTGTTAGGCAGCTCTTTGCATAATTGAAATATCAAGTAGATCTCCTGTAGTAAAAATAAAACAAAACAAGTATTTAGTTATATTTTTCAAATTTTGTGGTTGATTACACAGTCCATTCACATCAGACACAGAAATAAGTGGAGTAACTATTTTCTGATAAGTTGCCATGATATCATCTAAATATTGTCAGCGGAATTGATGTATTATTTTTACATTCGCATTTTAGAATACGCACAATTTGGAAAAACAAAAGAACCTATTTTGCGAGACAATCTACCAACCATAACTTTACGCACAGGAGAACAGGTATTGATAAGTATGAAAGATGATCCGCAGTGGGACAGCCTAATCTCTTTAAAAGACTTCCTGATGGAGTCCCCCTCATTTCCTCTACACTGTTGACCTCTTCCTCTTTGTGTTCATGTATGCCTCACTAATGCATGCTGGGATGTAAACACATGCTCTGCAGCTCATTTACAACCTGATGTAGTGGACTGGACAGGCTCAAGCTGAGAGATATGTGGGACATCTGGACAGACTTCAACTCCTTACTCTTGGATGTAATCTTCAGTACACATTATATGATACAGGAAGCAGGTTTGACAATGGAAATAAGTTAAAGGTCTTATATTATACAAAAGTGACTCTTGTGAGCTTTTAGTCATGTTAAAATGGTGTTATCTCCCCACAGTCAGACCTGGAGTTGTGTTTTGTTTCATTCACACATGTTTGAGTAAGCCTTTATTATTAGTCTATCTATGTCTCCAGTTCAAAATGCTGGGTGGAACAAAATGTTTTCAATTTGAAGAACAACTCCAGGCATGTTTTTGATGAGGAAACAAGATTATAACATCAGAAAAGAGCGTAATATGGGTCCCATAGTATCATATTTGTCATAAGTTTGTACAATGTAGGATAGAGTGAATTATGAGTAAACCTAACACGTTGGCACCTATATACTTATACCTACATACACAAATATGACAGAACATGCAAATTCATACAGAAAGGCCAAAAATCTGGGACCTAACCTCTATGTCACAGTACTTGGTTGTGGTAATAATAGTGATAAAACCTGCACTGGATTGTGTGAGCTCTATACAGTCCAGTACCATCTTTGAGGAATCTTTTTTTTTTTTTTTATCATTTTTGGGCCCTAAGTTTCACCACATCAGGTCTATGTCAGGAAATTTTTAAAAGAAAAACTAGAACACACTTCAGTCAAATCAGGCGCTAATTTGTAGCATGTGTTTTTCAAATATTGAAGCCATCCCCTCTCATAAATTCTCTTAAAGTTCTGTACAAATATAGAACTTCTTCCATCTGTGTCTCGATTCTATTTTTCTCCTTTTTTTGACATGAACTGACCACGCGTTTCTCTGATTTCTCTGTTAATCTGTCAATAATGCCCTCTGGAAACAAGGAGACAAGATACAGTGCCAGATTCACATGTATTTGTCAAAGTAGTATTGTCAAAGTGTGTGGTTTTGGCTGGCCTGGCAACAACTAGGACTACTCAAAACCAGGACTAGTCAAAACATTTTTATTACCAACAGATGTGACGAAACAGTACTAACAACTTTCTGCCTATAACTTATACTTCTCAGAAAACTATCATAACGGAGTAAGAAAAATATGTCTCTTCAAATTATGTAGTAATCATGCATTTCAAAAGTGAAGCAATACATTTTCAAGTAGCAGATATGGTGTACTCCAAGACTGCATAGAGACATGTATCCATAAAATGCCCTTTAAAGGAAAAGCTAACCATGTTAAATATTCTTGTCATACATAGTGTATCTCATTGTCCAAAAACAATGGCCATACTTTTTAACCATTTACCTTTTCAGATATTATGATGCACAGTTGGAGGGTGAAGTGTTTTGCTAATGCATTAGAAAAGAACAGAATGAAACCACAGACCTGAGAAGTAGTGAGTGAACCTTATATCATGTATTAAGCCATGTTATAACGCTGTTACCTCCTCAAAAAGATACCTAGATTTTATGTTTAGTTTCATTCACACATTTTTGAGTAATACTGCATTATTAGTCTACATTTCTAAAGCTCAAAATGTGCTGTTCCACCTTGTGATGTTATGAAGTGGTAGTTTTCAAGTCAACAGCTATAACTTTCAACTTTTATTTAATAGCGAAGGGCAATCCCAGGGCTGAATTCGCCAAAATGATTCTAGTGACGGTGTTTTAAAACACTTTTCTGTTTTATGTTTGCAAACAGAAATTTAAATGAAGATGAGTCATGTATTTCAGATAAGATTAAAGCTAAAGAAATGTGCTCTGTAAAATATGTAAAACATTGAACTCTTTCTTTGATTTATAAGGGTTTTTGGTATAGTATCGTATAAACTTTGTGTTGAATAGTGTCCGTGTCCCTATTTGTGGCGGTGGTGATTGTTTAGTTTCAGTAAGGACAGTCCAAAATACC